GAGGCGGCCGCCGCGCTCGAGCGCGAGGCCGCCGGCACCGGCCACGTGCGCACCACGCTGCTCGACGTGACGCGGCCCGAGAGCGTGCGGCAGGCGGCCGCCTGGGTGCAGGCGCACGTCGGGGACAAGGGTGAGCGGGGCACGTGGGGAGCTCGGGACTGGGGCTATGGGGAAGACTGGGGGGCTCAAGGTTGGGGCTATGGGGAGCTCAGGATTGGGGTTATAGGGAAGACTGGGGAGCTCAGGATCGGGGCTATGGGGAGCTCAGGATTGGGGTTATAGGGAAGACTGGGGGACTCAGGGTTGGGGCCATGGGCAGCTCAGGACTGGGGCAATGGGAAGCTCAAGATTGGGATTGTAGGGAAGATTGAGCGGCTCAGGATTGCAGCTATAGGGTAGGATGCGGGGCTCAAGATTTGGGCTGTAATGAAGACTGGGGAGCCCAGGATCAGGGTTATAGGGAAGACTGGGGAGGTTAGGATTGGGACTTTGAGGTGGGGCGGGGGGTGCAGGATTGGGGTTATGGGGAAGCCTGGGGGCTCAGGATGGGACTATGGGGCAGGATGGGGTCCCCACCAGAGGATGCTGTGCCAGGAGAGGGGCTATGGGACAGGGCAGGGGGTCTCAGTAGGGTGTGGTATGGGATCACACTGGGGGTCCCTATGGGGAGGAGCCATGGGGCAGGAGGGGAGGCCTGGGCTTGGGGCTATGGGGAAGGATGGGTATCCCATCCTATGGGCAGAGGGACCAAGGGGGCGACAGGCCTCGCCCCCAGCCCCACGGCGGCTGCGCAGGGCTCTTCGGGCTGGTGAACAACGCAGGGGTGGCGCAGCCCATCGGCCCCACGGAGTGGATGGCGCCCGACGACTACCGGCGCGTGCTGGCCGTCAACGCGCTGGGCGTCGTGGAGGTGACGCTGGCGCTGCTGCCGCTGCTCAAGCGGGCGCGCGGCCGCGTCGTCAACACCTCCAGTGTCCTGGGCCGCCTCTCGGCCAACGGCGGCGGCTACTGCCTCTCCAAGTACTGCGTGGAAGCCTTTTCCGACAGCCTCCGGTGGGCGCCGCGCCCCCCCTCCCGGCCTCCTGTCCCCCCATCTCGGCCCCGCGGCGGCTGATGGGGCTGCCCGCCCGCAGGAGGGACATGCGCCACTTTGGGGTCAAGGTGAGCATTGTAGAGCCCGGCTTCTTCAAGACGGCCGCCACCGACCTGGGCAGCATCGAGGCGTCGCTGTGGGAGCTCTGGGAGCGGCTGCCGCCCGACACGCGGCTCAGCTACGGAGAGGACTTTATCCATAAGTGTGAGTGGGGATGGAGGGGCCCTAGGGGGCACCCCGAGGACCTGGGGGGCACCCCAACCTCCTCGAGGATTCCCCAGGACCCATGGGGTCACCTCAACCTCAAGGGTGCCCTAATGCTCTCGGGGCCACCTCAGCCTCCTTGAGGATGCCCCCATGCCTAGGGGGTCACTCCAACCTCCTCAAGGGCACCTCAGCACCTTGAGGGTACCGAAGGCCCTTGGGGACATCCCAACTTCCTTGAGGGCAGCTAAACACTGAGGGTGCTCTGAGTAGGGAGCCCTAATGCCCCGAGAGGTACCCCAGCCCCTTGGCGGTACCTCAACACGCTTGGGGCCACCTCAATACCCCCTCGGGGCTACCCCAACACTCTGGGCCTATCAACCCCCTTAAGGGCGCCCAAATCTCTTTGAAGATGCCCTCAGCCCCTTGAGGGCACCATGATGCCCTTGGGGACACCCCAACCCCAACACCCTGGTGGAAGGCAGGTTGGTAGGTACCTTGGAGGTACCTCAACACCCTTGGGACCCCCTCCACCTCCCAGAAGGCACCTCAGACCTCAACCCTCCTGAGCCCACCATGGTGGGGGGGACATCACGAGGCACGGGCCGCCCCTCAGTGTCCCCATGCAGAAGCGGGGCCCCCTGACGCCCCCGGTGCTGTGTCCTCCATCCTTGCCCCCTCCAGACCTCAAGGTGCAGCGCTTCATCATGAACCTGGTGTGCGACGCGGACCTGGGCAAGGTGACGTGGTGCATGGAGCACGCGCTGCGCGCCCGCCACCCGCGCACCCGCTACAGCGCCGGCTGGGACGCCAAGCTGCTCTGGCTGCCCGCCTCCTACCTGCCCGCCTGCCTCGTGGACCTGGCGCTCGCGGCCATCCTGCCCAAGCCGGCCCAACGCGCCCGCTAGGCGGCACCCATCCCGCCCGGGACCCTTCCAACGTGGAAATAAAGCACCTGCCCCCAGCCTGGCCCTGCCACCCTCCTTGCGGCCGGACGCCGGGGCCCGCTGGGGTGTTGGGGGGCGCCCCAGACCCACGTGGAGGGTCCTGTCATAGGAGGGGGGCGGCATCGCCCAGGTCATGGGGTGGTCACAGCTGCCCCCCCAGCCTTCAGGCACCCACAGGGAGGCTGAATCTTGGGGAGGGGGCAAATCCCTTAAGGAAGCCGCATTCCCCCCACCGCTGGTCCCATCCAACGCAACGGGACAGGGCAGAGCTCCAAGGAAACTGGTTTTATTTCCAAAAAATAAAGTCCCAAGCGGGGGTCCCAAGACTCCCCCCTGGCAGCCAGGGAGAGGTCTGAGGGCAACGCCCCCCCCGCGGGGGGTCGGGGTTGGCACGGGGGTCCCGGCTCTACATGACCTCGTAGCCGCTGCGGATGCCCCTCATGAGGCAACAGGCGAAGATGATGCCCAGGACCTGGCAGGGGGCGAAGTTAGGGGCAGGGTCCCGGGAGGGGATGGGGGAGCACCCAGTGCCCCCTTGTACCCCCCCCCCAGAATCTCACCTCGAAGAAGGCGATGCCCAGCGCCACGGCGGCCACCACCACGATGTTCTTCTTCATCCAGGCCTCGAGGCTGCTCACGCAGCCCTGCGGAGGGCACGGGGGGGTGCTCAGGAGCCCGCGCTGGGGGTGCCGGGGGGGCGCGGGGGGCACTCACCTCCTCGTAGACGGTGGCGGGGCTGGGGTGCACGTTGCAGGTGGTGCTGTTGACGCGGCAGCAGGACCGCGGCACCGTGTCGTTGCCCTTGAACGGCGCCACGTTGGCCCAGTCTGTGTAGTTGTTGATGCCGCAGCAGTGGAACTAGTGGGGGGAAAAGAAGTGCGTGACAACAAGCCCCCCTCCCACCCCCCCAGCCCCCCCCGGCCCCCTGCGCTCACCTCCTCCTGGAGCTCGTCCACCCCTTCCCGCAGCGCCGCGTCCTCCCCGTACTTCTGCACGGCCTCCTGCAGCCCCTGCTCCAGCACCGCGCGCACCTGGGGGGCCCCGGGCTCAGCCAGCGGCCCGGCCACGTGCCCCCCCGCCACGCGGACCCCCCGGCCATGCGGACCCGACCCCGCGGCCCCCGCGCTGCCAGCCCCAACCTTGTCCTTGAAGACGTATCCGGCGATGGCCGCGGCAATCTCCACCAGGAAGATGAGGCTGAGCAGGACGGCAAACTGAGGAGGGGGACACAGGGTGGGCGGGGGGTCAGAGCCGCCCCTTTGGCCCCCCATCCCAGTCCCCTCCTGGTGCTCACCGTGGTGACCATGCAGTAACTCTCCTTCCAGGCGCCGCAGCAGCCGAAGAAGGAGATGAAGAAGATGATGACGCCCACGACGACGATGGCAATGGGTGTGCTGGAGGCCGAGGCGCTCGTCACCACCAGCGCCTTGTTGAGGGCCACTTGGGCGTAGAGGCCGATGGCGATGAGGGCCACGCCGCACACCTAGGGGGGGACACGGGGCGCCATGGGGCAGGGCCGCGCGCCCCACGGCGCCCAAACCAGCTGGGGGGGCATTGCTGTGGGGCAGCGGCCTGGGACGGGGGTCCTGCTGCTCCCAAAGATGCCAGGTTTGGTCCCCAAAACGGGCGGCAGCGCTTGGGGGACAGGCGGTCGTGGGGACATCCCGGCACAGGATCTGCGGGCGCCTGGCTCAGCGGGGGGCCGCGCAGGAGCCACGTCGGCCGCCTCCGGAACGCTGGGAAGGGGCCTCGGAAGGGGCTCTGCGTTGGCCTGGCCGCATCCCGGCGCTCCGGGGCCGGAGCGGCTCCTTCCCAGATACCAGCCCCGCTTCTCAGCGAACCAGGACTCCTGGGCCCCTTGCCAGGCGGAGGAGGGAATGGGCGGGGGAGGCAGCGGAGGAGGGGACAGCCAGGACGCCTGGGTCCCTTCCGTGAAGTGGCCCACGATGGGATCCATCCCGTCTTCCGGGCTCCAGATCCGCCCTGTGCTGGCTCTGCCGCCCCGGTCTCCCAGTGTCGGGACAGGCGCCGGATACCGGGACGGCGCCGCGGGGCAGGATCACCAGCAGTGCGGGCGGGGCAGGGGGGTGGGACAGACACCCCTCCGTGTCCCCCCCTCCACCACCACTCAGTGCTGTTTGCTCGGCGGGGTGAGAGCCTGAGCAAACAGCGCCCGGCTGCGCAAACAGCGGCGCTCGGCGGCTCCGGGGCGCCTGGCACCGGTGCCCCCCCT